TTGACGACCTTCCAGGCAGAAACTTAGCATCTCCTGGCATAGGGCTTGCATCGTGTTTCCACCAGCAAATGCTGGAAAACTATGGAAAACTGAACTCCAAGTCCAACAAGTTTCAAGACGTTTCAAGACGTTTCAAGATTGAAGATGTTTGAAGTTTGAAGTGTCAATAAGTCAATGGCGTGCAACAAACCAGGGCAACTTCAACGCTTTCGTAGTTCAACCATGTTCAACCTCATAGATCCTAATAGATCCTCATAATAGATACTTAATGAATCTTAATGACTTAATGGCTTAATGATACTTAGAGCATCTTGGAGCACTGTTTTGCTCACACGGCACAGCACAAGCGGTGAAGCCAATTCCTTCTACTGCGTGAAACAACGTGCACCAGGTGTGTGCAATCTCTCATAGAGCAGTAACCTTCGCAGCATGTTCCACCAAACAGCTTTGTTGTCCGTTTTGGATAAACAGTGCCCTGAGAAGTTGCACACTATCAAACATGCAAACCGTTTGCTGCCAACTAGTGGCCCTAAGCTACTCAGAACCATGCTTTCCCCTTCCGCCAGCTACTCAGCCTAGTCCCTCAATTTCAGGAAGAAGCGTTTGATCATCCTGGCTTCCTGGGAAACGGTTCTCTTGCTCGCTGCATCTTCACTAGCAGCCTCAACCACATTGATGGATGTCCCGATGTTCTTTCCAACTTGGTCTGCAGAGTCGAGGAATGCGATGATATCATCAAAGACCTCGTCATTGAGCACTACCATGTTCTTTGCCAAGGTTTCGGCAAGTGCCAGCATACACCTCTTGGCATAGTACCAGGTGTCCACACCGATCTTCTTGTCATACGGCTCCAGGGACTTGATAATTCTGCTAATTCCAAATTCAAAGTTGCCTTTGGTGCAGTACAGGGTGCCGATGACAAGATTGATGATACAAAGGTGATAGACTGGTTTGGTTGGATCCTTCACCTTCTCCTCCTCTCTCTCAACCAACCGCATGAGCTCTTCTGCTTCTTCGTTGGCAGAGGTCATGACGTACGCCACGCACAAGTTGGCCAGGATGATAGCAGTGACATTCAGCAAATCATCGTTGTGCTTCCGAACAAAGGGCTCATAGTAGCGAATGCACTCCTTGAACTTCTCCTGCATAAAGAAGATGTGAGCAACATTCAGCTTCCATGACTCATCTTCGCTGCAGAACTCAGCAGACTGCCGGAAGATCTTCTCTACCATGGAGTAGTTCTCCAACTCCCAGTAGATTTTGGCCTGGCCCATCAGCACTGGAATGTACTTGGCCAAAGCTTCATCAAACTCCGACAGGTACTTCTTCACCAAGCCTTGATCCCGCTGCCTGCGCGCATCCTGGATGTTTTTGGTCCCTTTCCGCAGCATCTCCACATGCTTTGCGGAGAGCTCGTCAAAGCGACGGTATGCCTCCTCAGGTGAAGACTGCCCCAAAATGAGCGCATCCAGGAACTCATAGTCTTCTGGTTTCATATTCTTGTAGGTCAGCTCCGCGTTTTCTGCCAGGATGTCTGCAGCAAGGTCGTAGTAACTGTACTTGCAGTAGAGCAGGAGCAAGTTCACGAAGGTTTCAGGCGGAGACGGTTGCTGGTTCAGCAGGAAGTTCAGCTTTCTAAAGCCTTCGGTGGGCTTCTCATCCATCTCAATGAGCGCTTGGTTGTGCAAGGTCACAGGATCCAACTCCGACTCATCCCGAGGTGGCATATCCGCCAAGGCATCCTTTGCAGCCTCCATGTTTTTGGTCATGTACTCGATGGCAGATTTGAGGTTGAAGGCTTCAATCAAAGCAGTTTCACGCAAAACGGACGTGTTTCCCACGCTCCGAGCTTTCAAATCACCCTCTGACAAAGCTCCTACGCTCAACTCTGGATGATCACGCACTCCTCGCTCAATGATCTCTGCAATATGCTTCAAGGCCGGCCCATATTGCTTAGAGCTGTAGTAGCACAAAGCAATGTTGTAGGCAAGGCTGGCCTGGTAGCCGGTAGTGGTGATGGCATCGTTGAAGAGCTTCATCGCCTCTGTGTACCTCTTCTCTTTCCAAAGAAGCGCACCTTCAAAGACCTGTCTTTCCTCGGAATCAGGGTGGCATTGATCCAAGATGCTTCGAGCAAGCTGCGTCTCCTCCTGCTCATAGGATATCGTTGCTTGAAGCATCAGTACTCTTTCCGTGTACTCAGGAGCTTCCACTGCAGTGCAAGCCTGAGAGGCTTCTTCATACAATCCGGCCTTTATAAGGCTTTGGACATGATAGATCTTGTATTCATCAACGTCAGGCACCACCTGTACCAGCTGGCCATAAGCATCTGCTGCATTTGCAAAGTCTTGCATGTGATAGTAGCAATAGCCCAGCAAGGACAAAGCACAACGGCTCTCGGGAAAGAACTGAAGCTGCTGATTCAGGATCTTCACCGCCTTGTCATACTTCTGCTCCATGATATGAGAGTAGATGGTTTTGGTCATCTCTCCCTCCTTGATTTGAACTCGGCCCATCATGGTTGCAGCACTGGTTGCAAAGGATTCCGGGTGAGACTTTTGCCCACTTGAGGTTCTAACCGACTAAACCACAGTGTCACAGTGTTTTTGCAGCTGTATAGGTGCCACTCATATCCCTAAGCCTTCAAAGGGTGCCTTCATATTTGACGGTTAAATGATGTTCTGCAAAAGTGAAAGCCAAGGTTATCGGCCTTCCTTGATCTCTACATCAGCTTGCGTGTCATGCTGGAAATGCTACAATGAGGCCGAAACAGCTGCGTTCGGGGGATGACATTCATGGTTCCACGATGTTCCACGTTTCTCATCCCGTCTAGCCAATGCATGTTCCATCTGGCTTGCACAGCGCGATCGAATTAGTCGCCAAAGAATTGCTTTCTGCACGGCAAACAGATCGCATCAGATCGCACAAGTCCATCAGTCCATTACAGGTAAATCAGAGGTCCATCAGTCCCGGTGCACCTTCAGCATCTTTGCCAGCATGTTCCCATCCACCAGTGCAGCCACGCGCAGGATTCGGCCGGCAAGGGAAGGAGATGCAAAGGTGTCCCAGTCAGCCTGAACAAAATCTTCACCATTTGAAATCCCACAAAATCCCCATGCATCTTTGCAGGGACACAGCCTGTCTTGCCCACTTCTTGCCCATAGAAACAAAGAAGATCGCACGAAGAATTCTACTTACTCTGCAGCGGTGGCCGTGAACTGTTGTTTCCAGTGCTGCCAAATGCATGTGGAACAAAGGATTAAAAATGAACAAACTCAAAAAGTTGCTCAAATTCCTTTGAACTCTGTTTGGTCACCGTGGCTGTCACTTCACATGGCAAAGGGTCAAATAAACAAATTCAACTAGGACAATGTTCGTTTGGTCGAGTTGCTGCAGCTCGAAGCATGTTCAGAGTGTCCTGTCTCTCAGTGACATATTTCGAAAGAAAAGGAACTGACATGTTGCTTTCCATGCTTTCCGAAAGCTGCAATTTTCCTAAGTGTTCTAGCGCTAACATGCACTAACCATTTTGCATGTTTATTTTCTGATTTAGCTCGTACGAACTTGCACACGACTCGTGCTTTCTATTGCATTATACTCTTGCAACAGGACTTTGGTCTTCAATCCCCTCTCTAGAAAAGAATGGTTGGGAGGTACCCAGTGTCCTATGATTATCTATGATTCATATGATATCATATGCCTCAATTTTATTATACATGTGAAACCTGAAAGTCTGTATCATTCTGTATCCCTGACACCTAGAAAATCCTAGAAATATCTGTCCTTCATCGCTTCATCCCAACTGGCTGGGCCATTTTCACCATGCAGCCCAAGCATGTTGAAGGTCCACTTGATCCTCAAAAATCTCATCAGATGTGACTACATGTGACTACTGGACTACTCAAACATCTGAACTTGGATGAAATTATCCGACACAATCAACATGATTGAAGTTCTTCACGGCAACTATAAAACGATCACACTGAGCACGCATCCAATTCAACGATATGATATGAATTAATTGATGATTAATATTGATATTCAAAATATTGCGATTTTAGGTAAAAGGAGCCCTCAAATCATGTTAGTTTGCTGCAGAAGCTTCTCTTCAAGAAGATCGTGAACCAAGCAGAAGACGCGCTCTTTCCTCAGTCCCATGAAGCAGCAAACAGTGCTGACATCCGCAACTCTGTCTGATTGACTCTGATGGGCAGTTGTGAACGTGAAGGTTGCAGTTTGAGTTGTCTGAGTGGTTTGAGTTGTCGTTTTTGAACAGTTGCGACAGTGGCACTTCGACTGTTCTGAGGCACTTGCTGCTTGATGTCCACCTCTGGCATCAGAGAAGGGTTCGTCAAAACCAGGCTCCGCATCTCTTTCTGCAATTCGAGCACCTGCAGCATCCCCAGCTGCAGCTGTTGAAAAATAACAAAAAATGAATATGGCTTGCGTCGCATGGTTGCACTGTGTGGGCAAAGATCTTGCGTGCTTAAAGGTCTTTTTGGGCCTAAATCACCGTTGCGCTGAGAAGGATCAAACAATATTGAAAAATACATCTGGCGATGCTTTCCGGATTACTGTCTTTCGACATGCGAGTCCTCAATGCTTTCTTTCTGCCTGCTCTACATGAACCGTCCTTAGATCTCCTTCCACCGGTGCCATAAACAGAACCTCACCATTGAGCTTCAGCAATAAGCGGCGGTTGGATGCAGCCTGATCCTGCAAACAAAGAACCGCACAAGACAAGTGGGATTTGTGGTTTACTGCTGCACTTCTGCACAACCTTGTTGGATGCACTGCCACATAGATTGACCATCGCAAAGGGACGACTAAAGCGCTCGGTGTATATATATATATATATACGCGTGTGTATATATATATATATGTGTGTGTGTGTGACAATGTGTGTGTGTAATTACCTGTGTGTGTGTGTGCGTGCATTGTCATACAAATGGCATGTTCAGAAACAAAAATAGAGGATGTCAAGGATGCCACGTCTACAGTGACTATACTGAACAAATGATGGCGGGGACAAAGGCCGCACGCGTGTCCTCGGGTGTTTCGTTGCTTTCATCACCTCACAAAGTATGCAGATGTATGCAGCATCCGCAGCATCTAGCGCATCACGCACCGTGCGTTTAACAGCCCATCTGTCGATCAAACATGATCCGCATGATCTCACTTCAGGCGAGGAACTGGCATCTGCGGTCTCTTTGTCCTCAGTGCCATCTTTCGTTTCCTTCTCTTTCTCTTCCTCTTCTTCGTCTTTGGCCTGCACCCCAGGTAGGTTTGAACAATTTATTTTTCCATCTGCTTGGTAGACAAAGCAAAACTAGCCTAGATTCACCATCCTGTGTTTCATCAACGATGCAACCCAGTAGAGATAGCACAACTCCTGTACCCTCCATTCTCAACAAGCATCCCATCAAGGCATGCAGATTGTTTCCGCGCATTCACTTTCTTCGATTCTTCGGCGAGTCTTCCAAAGCAAGAGGTCACAAAAAGGAGCACTTCCGGATCATGTTCAAACAGCAGGCCAAACTAACAGTGACCCTGGGGTTTGCTGAAAATTCTGGAATCAACTTTGCTCCTTTGAGTCCTCCCACCGACTTAAATATTAAACACACGGAGACATCAGGAGACCATTGCAGAGCGCATGCATCGGCATGGCTGATCCCAGTCACAAGATGTCTCAAGTACTACATTGAGAAGTGCCGTTATGTGCCGTTGCATCGAAGGCTGGATTCTGCCTGTTGGATCGCAGCCTCGAAACCATCCAATGCTGAGGACAACTGTGCCAACTCTGCCCACGGCGCTGTGGACTTCTGTATCTTCTGTTCAATGGAAACGCAAGGGCCAGACATCAACGGATGCCCTTCCTCGTTGCAAATTGAACCAAGATATGTAGTTGGATCCATAAGGTTCAAGTGCCAAGGTGCGCGTACATAATTGATGTATATGTGTGAATATATGTGAATTGATGTATGGATGTATGTATCATGGATGCATGTATATGTATGGATGTATGGACGTATGAATGTATGGATGTATGTATGGATGGATGTATGGATGACTGGATTCTTGGATGATTGGATTCTTGGATGATAGAATGATAGGATGATAGGATGATAGGATGATAGGATACAGTATGGCAGTATGATAGGATAGTAGTATGGCAGTATGATAGTGATACGATATGATAGCATATGATAGTATATTACAGTATGATATGCATGCGATGTGATGCATGTGATGTGAATTGGTGCGGCTTACAAAAACTGCATGTGATGCATGTGATGCATGTCATCTATGTGATGTATGTAATGCATTATATAAATGCATGTAATGTGTGGGTGTGGCTTATGTACTGTATGTCGTTGATGTCACGAATCTTCACTCACGAATGTAACTGCATGTACGGTAATCACTACTGTAGTGTGATGTTTCCACACATGTTAATATACTATTAATGTATATCACATTACTTAATGTCAATGTTACCTCTCGTGCTCATGTCAGAGTTCCTGTAATGTAATGTAATGGAATGTAATGTAATGTCTGCAGTATATCTACTGTACGAGATGTTCAAAGACTAAGGAATGAATGAATGAATAATGAACGAATGAATGAATGCATGAATGCATACGAATGAATGAATGCATACGAATGAATGCATACGAATGAATTAATGCATACGAATAATGAATTAATGCATACGAATGAATGAATGCATACTAATGCATGAATGAAAGAAGGAATAAATGAATGAATGCATACGAATGCATGAATGAATGAATGAATGAATGAATGAACGAACGAACGAACGAATGAATGAATGAATAAAACCGAACTTCACAAAAGTATACAAAAGTAAAGATCCTTGAGGCTTTGTGGCTTCAAAGAAAGAAATAATAAAGGTATTTATACCTCTCTGGAATGCGATGTTTTGCTGGTATGCGTTTGCGATTTTGAGTATGGGGAAGGCAGTCTGCCCGCATGCACTTGGTTCATGACCCATCTCCTCTAAATGACACGTGGTCTGTGTGGCAGCTGTGCCACCTTTTACGTTTCAAAAATTAAGCCTGGAAGATTTGCTAACAAGTTGCATTCTTTGGAAGGCTCATCCCTTCGTTGGTTCCAGATCTTGCAACCTCCTGTGCCCGCAAAGCGTGTTCTCGAGTAGCCAGATCTTCCAGACGACACGCCAATGAGTCGAGGGAGGCTTTCACTTCTACCAATGATCCTCGCATCCTTAGCCCAGTATGCCCAGGTGGGGCAATCAATGTCGGGCTTGGAGCATGCGCCTGTTGGAACAGAATTGGCTCCTGCAATGACGTCAGGATGTGCTGTGGTTCTCGTGCAGAAGGTCTGGCAGGCATGAAATTTCGAAAACAAATCTAGGCTTTGAAACATGTAGTGGCCAGTACCTGTAGTGACAGCCGAAATCTCTCTAAAGCCTTTTTCAACAAAATGCTTTCATCTTTCTACTGCGGCCCTGCCGCAGCCAGTGCAAATGGCCCACAAACATCAATAGACTGAAAAGCCGCATCGACAGACAGGAAGAATATATGAAATGATCAGCTATGATCAGGAATGATAATGTGGAGTTATGGAATAAGATGGAACAAAATGAATAATTAGTAATACTATAATATAATAATAACAATATATGATTCAGTTATTACTAATCATTGATAAGATATTGATTAGTTAATAATTGTTATATGATTATTATTGATGTAAGAAGAACAAATACGCAAACATAATAACAATATTAATTCAAGTTTAACAGTATGTATTAAAAATATGTAAATCATGACTTGCATTACCTAAAGTTAACTGCACAAGTTTTGCCTCGGAGCCAAGGAACTCCTCCAGTCCATCCTTTTCCCTGGGGCATTGTCTTGGCCCTATGTGTGCAAGCACTTGGTCCAGGTGACCTCGAACAAAGGAACGTGGCATGACACCTGAGGTATGACATGTCATCTACAGGTCCGATATTAAGATAAATATTACTAGTATCAATAAAAATTAGTAATACGGTACATATATATTATATTATATATGTGTGTGCGTGCCGCATAGTCTGCACAGTATAGTATAGTCACATCGCTTTACAATACGTGACATGGGAGTGCCTACAGCATCCTACAGCCAGAAAAAAATATATAATATAATATATATATATAATCGTTCTGAATATTATAATATAGAGAGAGAGGGTGTGTTTTATGTCTGTTGTTCTTCTGGCAACCTTGCCTCTGGCATCTGCAAAGCCTTCCTGCACTTTGGCAGCCAAGGCTGTGAAGCGCTCCACGAATGTGTCAACGCACCGGCAACTCTCCTCGCACGCCGCGATCCGTTCGCTCAAAGCTCGCATCAAGGGCACTTCCACCTCTGACTTGCCTGACAGTTACCAAAAACATTCCAAGACAAAACGCAAGGACACTAGGCTGGCCAAGGCTGGCTTGCAGTACGAGTACGGAGGCCAAAAAGATCCAAAAAGAACATAAACAGACTGGATTTACAGCGGAGCAAGTTGGACCAAGTTACTGAAAGCATCAATTTGTACGTGGATTTTTTCCAGCTCTTCTTCAAGGCGTTTCTCCAACTGCCTGACGTTTTGGTCCATGAGCACCGGAAAGCCGATAGTGCTAGGCTCCTGCACAAATCTTGGCCGGAGCACCTAGCTACTTCGCATTCGTCTCCATACCTTGACACTCACTTCCCATGAGAAGCCATCCTAAAATATCATTGATCATGGCGCAAAACGTAGTACTGTACCACATAGTATCACATAGTGTAACATACAAGTGTATTAACATTAAATAACATTAACATATGTTAACATAATACATTATTAACATATAGTATATTATATTAACCTAATATGTTAACAATATGTCTGTTAAATGTGTATTTTCTGACATAGATTACAGTATATTACAGTAATATATCATATCAATTCATATCATATCATATCATGAACTGGCCGCATCAGCAGTGCAAGAATTGACAGGGCGGCTTTCACTCCAGTCCTCATTGCTTGTCTCAAAGCTTCGGAAGCTCTTCTCACTGTCCAGGGCCTTGTTTAACAATGGCGATGTGTGAGCTCCGGAAAATGTCTTTAGGAGCTTCAGAAAACCAACTGAAGTTAATAGATCGTGTGAGTTGATACAAGATGATATAGGATATTTGATATTAGCAACGCACTTTGCTGGGAGTCTGCATGTCTCTGCACGCAAAAGAACAGAAATAATATACTCAACTCCAAGATTGCCTATCAATGATAGCCTATCATGCCTATCCAAGCTGGCTTGACTGCATAGAGACTGCCATGTCCAGCCTCGACCGCCTGAACTTTTTCACCCGGGTGTCTCGCTATGAGTACCTCTCCCTCCAAAGCACTCAAGCGGTCTTCCTGAAAAGCAGTGGACTGCTGGAAATCCGCCCGCACCGAAGGTGCTGGGGCGTGATCTTCCGGATGGCACTCGTAAAAGGTTACAGGTTTACCTGGGGGGGGGGTGGCATTTTTCGGCCAAAACCTCCTGTTTTTGATAGGTCGTGACGCTCGCCTTCAAAAAACACTGTAAAAAACAGTACGGAAGACACCTGTTCGTGAACGCGCCCGTCCAAAATCGGCAAGCGAAAAGTGAAAAAACCCCGGGTTTTTCAACTTTTTGACCTCAATTTTTTGGTTTGCAACATCTTTTTTTGCGGTTCCGCAGGTGGCCTGGCCCGGAGGCGGATTTTTGAGTTTTTGGACCCGTTTTCGGACTGATTTTCGTCGTTTTGTGATAGCAGAAACACTTGTTTTTACAGTGTTTTTCTGTTTTCTGCATGCTTGACGGCTAGGTTCAAAACTTCCAAAAACCTCGTAAATTACGCTGTTTTATGTTACGGTGTGAATGAAAACATCGTAAATACCAGTGTTTTTTGACGTTTGTTAAAAAAACACTGTAAATTACAGTGTTTTTGGCCACCTGACCCTCAAAAACCATGGTATTTGCAGTGGTTTCTGCTTCTCACCGCGCAAAAACACTGTAAATAACAGCAATTTCGCCGTTTTTTTCATGTTTTTCGTTATTTTTTGAACTGCGTTGGTCCGCTATACATGGCTATCAAATTCTTCGCGTGTTTTTTTCCGACAATCAGTACTTTCGGATGTTTTTGGTCTCAATGGCCGACATCATTGGCAGTTACGAACGATGCGGTGCGGGCGGTTGCCGTCGCGAAGCGACGTGAATATGTCAAAATATGTCAAAATATGTCAAAATATGTCAGAATATGTCAAAATATGTCAAAATATGTCAGAATATGTCAAAATATGTCAAAATATATCAAAATATATCAAAATACCTCTCATTCTCATGAAATCTCATGAAATCTCGTGAATCAGTCTGAATCGGTCTCATGATGTCTGATGATGTCCAATGCATCCGGGAATCTAATGGCTTCAGCCTCTGACAAAGGTGCTCCTGCAACTCGTCTTCCCGTTTGCATGCCTGCATTGAAGTACAGTTAATCCTGTGTTGCTCCATTGACCTTGCATTCACAAACCATAACGGCATATCACAGCCATGTTGTGTCTTGCAATTTGTCACTCCATCATGTTTCGAGTTTGGCTCGTTGTCAACATCTTTCATCATCTTTCAACATGTGTCAACATGTTCTTTGATTCCCTTTCCGTTGCCAGCGCCTCCTGCTGGTTGGACGCCACCAGTCGAACACTCCGCCGGAGTTCCGAGAGGTCCACGTGCAGCTGCGACATGGATGCAGCTGGGGCGGCCTTCGTGGCAGACGGGTGCAGCATGGTGCAGCAGTCCCCGCAGGGGAGGAGAGGTACATCAAAATCGTCAAAGAGAACTTAAAACTTGAAACATCTTGAAACATCTTAAAACCAAGACCTTAAGTTGGAGCAGCAAGAAATCCTTCGACAACATCTCCAGGGATCTGTCAGCTCTCTGTCCCCAAGCCTTCTCAATACTTTTGAGGCCAGCGGAGAGGTCGTTCAGACGGATGTCCAATCGACGCTGCTGCTCCTCCAATGCGGCAGCTGCTGTTTTGCCAGCCTCTGCCCGTGGCAGCCTATGCCCATAAGAGCCCTTGGATCTTCATGATCTGCTTGGCATGTCATAATATCATTTGGTAGCACGGCATCTCTTGATTGTTGGGGGGCTTACACTACCACCTAGGGAATCGGTCTTTTCAAATCCAGTTGTCATTCTCTTTTCCGTATGCAAAGCATTCCCTCCTCGAGTGCCGAAACTCGCACTTCACTTCGCCTCCGCGACAGGGTGGCCAGTTGCTCGCTGTGCTGAGCATCTGCGACGACCTGCCTTAGCAAGTAGTCGAAACGGATGTGGGAACTGGTTCGCACTGAAGCTGCTCAGAATCAAGTGTTTACCTCTAAAGCTTGGAAAGCATTGAGGCCGCCTTCAACTGCCGAAGTACAGGATACAAATGAAGGAATGGCTACAAAATGCTACAAATGGCTACAGTAATCACACATGAATTGGCCACGACGTATTGACAATACTTTTGAATGTTGGGCTCATAGTGGCTAATAAACCAGCTCGGGTGGGTCACAGGGCTCGCGCAGCTCAAACACTGCAGTTTTTGAAGGTTTTGAAGGCAATCGGTGAGCTGCCTGTGGCTTTGTGTAAGACAGTGTGAGTATTGTGAGATGCTACGGGTTGCGAATGCTTCGTGTTGCTGCAGTGACCGAAAATTGATGATTCAAAGTGATTCAATTTGACCGCGATACTGATGAACTCCCGCAAGCAGCGTCAGCAAGCGCTCTTCCATCTCATCCGGCTGTGACTTCTCCTGAGGCCTGGTATTGCAGGAGGCACAGTACATGCTGCATTGCTGCGTCATGCAGCACTCTCCCACTCATGTGTTCACACATCTTGCGAATCAGATTTGTATCGTGCCATTGGGTGACACCTTTGCACAATCTGCTGCAATGTCAGCATAATCAATTATGATCCGTAATATTCCGTAATGCTGTTCCAAATCTTTAGGTTTTAACTCACCGTAACTCACCGAACATTCTGACCGTCATTCTTCCGTTTTTGTCCATGACTGTGGTGCTATGATGTGCCAGGTGGATCCATGTGGTGCCACCGTGCCGCCTGCCCGTTCGCGAAGCCAAGCACTTCTCGGTCACTTTGGGTGATGGCCTCAGCCATCTCCAAAACGACGGCGACGGAGCAGGAGTTGGCGGCACGGCGTCCGCAGCCATGGCAGTGATCCGATGGGTCCGATGGTCCAGTTGTCACCAGTGTCACCAGTGTTATCCGATGTTCGGATGCCAGGAGACACTGGACGGGCCGGGCCGGACGGGTGAAAAGTGCTGGAAGAATGATGGAAAGATATGGAAAGCACGAGCTGTGGATGCCTGGTGGATGCAGTGAAGGGATGTTGGTCCTGCACTGATTCTCCACCACGCACATTCTCTGCGGAAACCAAGGCAGAAAAGATGTGGATTGTGTTGGGCA